ATGAGGGAGAGGGAGGGAGGGAGGACGGAGGGCGGCTGGGCAGAGCCAGGCTGCCGGGCTGCTCCCACTGCGTAAGAGAAAAGCGGGAGGGGGAAGGAGGAAAAGAGAGGGGGGGGGAAATGATAAATAACCAAACGCGGCAGAGGGAAGGCGAGCCCACACCTGCGAGGCACGGGCAGCGTCCTCCCCCCGGGCCGGGGGAGCTGCGGTGGCCTCCCCATCCCACCCCCGGCACGGCCAGGGGGGAGCAGCATCCCCAAACCCACCCTGCCGCAGCCTACCTGCGGTGGGATCCAGCAGGATATGCTGGGAAGAAGGGGAGAATCGGGAAAGGCTCCCGGGGAGATCGGGATTCGGGAAGCAGATTCCTCCCTCCTCTGCAATTGTGCAACCTGAGCGCTGTTCTAGCGCAGGAGCAGCGGAATGGGGAATCTGACCTAGAAACTGGCAAAAAAATACAAGGAGGAATGAGAACTACGGGGAGAAAATTGTTATTATTTAGTATTCTTTTAGCAGCATTAACTATAGGTCGTTTTGGTAACCCAAACCATCCTGCACTTCTCGTCTGAGTTAGGTATTTCAGAAGCTGCAGTGGTAAATTCCTTACCTCAAGGTGGGGTGATCCACACAGACCCCACAGGTCCAGTCTGGCACTGGGACACTGACCCTGATAAACTTGTTTCCCAGGAGCTGCAGAGCTCCCTGGCAAGGCCAGCCCCCAAACAGAAGACTTGGGGACCCACCCCCAGTTAGATCCCAGATCAGGGATGGTTTGACTGCCAAGAACCAGAGTCCCCTGGTCTGGTGCCTCTGGCCATCTGCAGTGTTTCCCCAAAGAAGCCATTTCCCTGCATTTTAAGGAAATTTCTCAATGTTAGGGACTCAAGCAGAGACACAGACAGATCAGAGCAAATTCAGGGCACATTTGCCCAAGAGGTGCAGAAAAAGAACATGAGCTCTTGTGCATCAAAGGTTTTTTCTCTTCCCAACACAAAGCCAGCCCAACAGAGAGCTCCTGGGTCCCAGCAGGCAGCCAGGGCTACCCCTTTGTGCCCCAGCTCTCCTTTAATGCATATTTGGGGATATTTCACACAAAAGCTGCACCTTCTTCACCAGGAACACAATGCTAAGGTATGGTGCTGCAAGGCAATTTTCTTGAAAGCTTCAACAAGAGATCTCAGCTTTAGCAGGGACAGAGGGAAAAAAAGCATGACCCAGAGTTCCAGCCCTCCTGTGGAACAGAACAGGCTCACTGCATCCAAAGGTGGGGTTTTGTCAGTCCATTAATGAGAGTGTGAAATAAATATTAGACCAGACATTGCCTTAATTGTCAGTGGATTGATTTCCAAAGGCTGAAGCAAGGACAGCAGTAAATCAGTGCAAGAGCTCTCAGCTGGACAGCTCAGGAGCTGACGGGAAGAGTGTTTGCAAATTCAGCTCTGCTCTTCTCTGCTGGCTCTCACCCCAACAAATGCTCTCAGCCCTTCCCACACTCCTTTATGTTAATGCAGTGCAGCAAATACAGCAGGTTCACCTATTTATCTTGTGCTTTTCTTTCTGGCCTGAGAGATGTGTTTCAGAAAGGCTGGGGGAAAAGGGATCAAGAATGCACTTTGAACTACTGACAGCCAAGATACGTGTCTGGGACAAATATCTTTCCAAAAATTCGCCTCATCCATCCCTCTAGCTGTTCCTCAGTGTTCATCCCTGACCTCTTTGCATGGGGAAAAAAAGCCCAGGATGTTCATGCTGCACCTTCAGTCCCAATCCTGTTGTTTCACATAATTTCACTCCAATTATAATTCAATAATGGTGAGATCTGTCCTTCCAGAATATCTCATGGTATCTTCACACATGCTCTTCTCAGGATCCCTGGGGAGAGGAGGACAATCATTTCAAGACTGCCAGATTGCTTCTTCATCAGAAGTCTCCTGTCCATTGGGGTCTATGCACCAAGCCTGGGAAGGAAGACAACCGAAATCTTATCAACATTACCCAAAAAAGATTTCTCCCAACCAATTTCTTTGAAAAACAGATCAGCTCTTCAGCTTGAAGGTTTCTCAGCAGACAGCAAGAACCAAGAAAAGAGCAAGACAAAAGGGCACCCTTCTTCCAGGTGATGCCCAGAGAGACTTTGGGGAGGCAGCAGATCTCACCATTAGGAGATGCTGAGTTTAAAACAGAGTCCAGGGCATCACATGCAAGTGAAAACACCTTCCACTGGAGCAGATGGCTCCAAGCCCATCCAGCCTGGCATTGAACACTTCCAGGGATGGAGCAGCCACACACACCTTTACCATTTCTACCTCCAAACCCCTGGAGCATCAGCACAGTCTACATCAGCTGTGGATAAAAAATCTTTGATTATTTCAAAATAATCCAGTTCAAGTGCCAATAATTGAATCTTCTGCCATTTCAGCTAGTTTAACTTTACAGACATTGTTCCTAAATGTGGAGAACTTTTGATGATTCTGCAGAAAACAACCCTCAGCCACCTGCATCTCATAATAGCAACAGCCCACAGGGATTTTTTTGGTTTTGCCTTTCCTTTCAGGAGGTGAAGACGTCTGCATGTCAGAGCTGTTTTGCCACCTTTAACATGGTTTGTCAATCTGTTTAATCAAGGCCATCATGAGCAGAGAATTAATTTTTCAAGATGTGAAATCATTTTCTCATGCAGGGAATGAGCACCTGGGCTGGAGAGGAGTGGGAGAAAGGCTGGGGGGATGTGGAGTGTGCTGGAAAGCAAAGGTTCAAAAATGCAACTGTCACTCCTGGGATGAATGGCACCTGATTAATGGCTTGCCAAAGGCTAATTAGCTAAATTTGGACCACAACCACTGGTAATGGGTGATATTGCTCTTAGGACATTAATGATGGCAGAAATTTAGCAATGATGTATCCCTCACTAAGGCAGGGGCGTTAGAACCAGATGATCTTTACAGATTTATGGTCAATAGAGCATAAGGGAAACAAGAAACAAAATAAATAAAAAGACATAAAAATATGAAAACATTTTTTCCTTGAACCCTAAAATCCACTTTTCCAGAGCAGCCTCTTGAAGGGGTTTCAGTGGTACTCACTGAGACAGTGGTGAAAAATTCTGTTCCTTGCGTAGTGCTATAAATCATGAAACAACACAAGACAAGAAAGATTCCACAACTGGATTATCTGCCCTGCATGGCCAGCAGACTCATTCAAAGTATGAGAAATAACATCTATTAAAAAGAAGAGGACATTGGCTTCTTCAATATTTCCAGTAATACATATTCATTGTAGCTTTTGTACTTCCTCAAGTCAGACTCATTTTAGAGATGACAGAAACCTCTGCAGACTCTTTTCTGCACTGCCTAGCATCAGAACAGAAACAAAACCAAAAAACCAGAAAAACTGTTCCCAAGGAGCAAAGATGGGCCTGGGGACAACACATTGTGGGAAAAGGAATCCCACTGAGTTCAGCATGTTGGGGTGGTACCTGAATCCCAGTCCCTGCAAGGGGAATGGGGTCAGTGGGAAGTCACAGGCCATGTTCTACCTCGTTCAAAGTCCCCATCTCCCTTCCATGATCATTGAACTTCCCAGGAAGAGCAGATGTGGGCCAAGATCTCAAGATGCAAATGGCAGGGTGATGGTCCAGCCCGTATCAGATGGCTGATCCCAGTACATCCCGTTCACTCTCACACCCAGGCACAAATATCAGCTAAGACATTTGCACACAGATTTTAGGTCCAGCCCAGCAGAAAAAGGCAGCTGAGCTCATCCATCCCCACATTCCTGAAGGGCAGTTTCACCTGCCCAATCTTGACACTTCTGCAGCCTGACAACCCCCTCCCTGCCAATTTCTGCAAGGAACTGATTCATGGGAACAGGCAAAGTATACAATAAAACAATTTCCTGAAGGACCAGCTAGTTCCCAGGGCCACCAGGCTAACAAAGCTTGAGTCAATGGATTCCTCTTTCTAAAACAGCAGGATAGCAGAATAAGTGTAATTCATGCCCATTTCAAGCACAAATACTGAGGAAATCTCTCCATTTCTCTTCTACCCATCTACAGGGTCCATGGTAAGGAGAATGACCAGGATTAGTGCCAGCAGCCACCTGCAATTTAAAAACACTCTCTGTGCTGCTAGGCCTGATCTTCATTACTTACAAATAATTAGAGCAGATCTTGCTTTCACCAAAAATTCATTTAGAGCAAAATCCCCCAAGCTCCATCTGGGAGAAAGAGCTCACAATGCTACTGACTTCACTGATATTTCATTGTTTGCCATCACTATTTGCAATTTTCAAGGGACTGATCATTTCAGGTGACTGCAGATGAGGCCATAAATCTTCACTGAAACATTAAATTGTGTTTTACTGTCTTCCTCCTCTTTGCATCTCAAACTCATGAACCTGGAAACAAGCAAGTCCCTCTACTCTTACAAGACAGAAACCTCTCCTGATCCACATTATTCCTTTCCCAGGACAATGATTTTTTTCACCATTTTGGGAATGGGCACCCATCATCCAAGGCTCATTATTTGGGTGTCCCAGATGCTGAGAGAGTCAGGGTCTCTGATTTCAAGAAAGGCAGTGATGGTTGCAGGATTTACACAGGTACTCACTAAGAAACAGCAGCCAATGATGAATTTAGATCCTCTGAACACATCCCAACATTTTAACCTCTTATCCCTTAGGGAGGAAAACATCTCTGTGCTCAGATGGTGAATTTCACAGGAGTCTTTCAAAGTAAAGGTCTGCTTATCACCTTTGTGTTGCAGTCCTTTTACACAGCCAATAGCTTGGAGAGCAACAAAATCACTGCAAAATAAGTCTGACACCAAGATACCCAGAAACCATTTGCTGTTTGCTTCCCCCTGAACTTGCTCTCCCCAAAGAGATGTCCCTCAAGTTCTCACTTGTGTGGATCAATAGCAGCTGATGCCTGACAAACCACCCCAAAGCAAGATGTTTTCACAGCTTTAACCCACCTGAACTCAGCCCCAAAAGCCTTCCCTTGTTCCATTTTCCAGCAAGAGGAAACAATAGATGTTTACTGAAAATTTTTGAGCAACTGTGGAGGGAAATGTATTCCCATCAGTTTCTCAAAGGCTTGAATATCTGCCTTGAAAAGGCTCCAGCCTTTAACAAGCCTATAACTGGGGAGAACCACCAGTTAGATGGAGGAGATGTATGTAAATAACATGCACCAAGCAGCAGATATGTTGTGCTGTCTCCTCACATAGGCTATTTATGTGGCTGTCATGCTCTGGAGATGTCACACAAAGAGCCGTGGCAGCAGCACCATACACACACTCCAGCTCCCCATAATTTCATGTGGAATTGAGAGTCAACAGCCTTGCTGGGACAAGCTGGTTCCAGAAAAGCTGTGTTGAGTCACAAAAGCCAAAAAATTTGGCCTGAATGTTTGACAGGATTAAAAAACTCACTTCTAAATGTATGGCACAGATGTCAGCGGCTGTGCTGTGCCTGCCCACAGGACCACAAGTACTGGTGGCCATGAGAGGGACTATCAGCACCCTGGGCTGCTCAGAGCTCACTCCCAGCTGAAGAAATTGTATTATTCGCCTTCAAAATTGACATTTAACCTTCATCAGAAGCCTTTCTGTCCTTGCCTAAAGCAACAGCCTCACCTAAGAAGCTGCTTCATCTCACAAGCTGATCCATTTCCACATAT